TTTCCTTATCTGCTCCATTAATCGAGGCAGCTCAGCTAACAGGTGCACACCAAACTTCACTTATTCATGGACACAAATCTCTGCCTTTGTATCATAAATCTTACATTTTAACAGAGGAGATAAAGACTCAGGAAATTTAAAAATGTGTATGTATTTGGAAAATCAGAAAGTTAATAATACTATAGGAAAAATAAAAAATACTAAATAAAAAAGGACGATATCCTGAATAATTTTGCTTTTGTGGTACTGACTATATTATTCTCGGAAATTCCCTTCAATAGTGTTCTGCTCAAATACACATTTCTAGAGAGGTGAGGCGACTCCTCCCCTTGCTCCTGTCGCTGTAGATGGCTGGGGTAACCGATTTTCCTCAGTAAAGGGGTAGGTTCATGGGTTCCAGCCTTTCAGTAAGTTGCTGGGTGAAATTCAAGGACCATGTGTGGTAACGCAGTGGAACGTGCCTGGCACAGCGGTCACAGACAATGTGTCAGCAACACTTTCTCAACATGGGAGGCCCTTGTAGGCTCAGGACAGGGCAGGGACCTAGGGCCGGGTGAGGAGAGGGGCCCTCGTGAGGATGGGTACAGGCCTGTGCTGGGCAACACTGGGATTCAGAAGAGGAAACAGAGAATCCTCTGGGGCCGGACCAGATGGTCCTCCCAAGAGTGAGAAGCAAGGGTCATCTCCCTTTCTTCTTTTATCCCTGCAGACATCCTCAGTGTGTGTCAAGCCGTTCTCTCTGACACATAAGGGCCAGGGTAGTTCATCATAAGCCTCATTTCTCTACTGGAACTTTTCCCCACCAAGCTGCTTCTGTCACCTCCCTCTGGTTCACTTCAAATTCATGGCAACGTTAATGGTTTAGTTAAAGTTAAAGTTTGGTTGGACTTTGCAGGGAGAGGCATTTCCTAAGCTCTTTCCCTCCCATACCCCGCTCCTTGCCAGACCAGCTCATCGCTATCTCCAGTGACTTTCGGACGGCAGCTGGACTCGATTTCCTCTGTCGTGTTTTCTCAGTACAATAGATAGACAGCAACGATTACATTATCATTAGTCATTATCTCGAAAGAAAATACTTGGATGTCAGAGGATATAATGTAAATTAACTAACAATAAAAGCCAGCTTGGCCTCAGTACAAATTCATTAGCATCAGGATTATGACTCACCGTAGCTCCAGACATCACTCTGGTGGGTATAAATTCGGTGTAAAATTGATTCCAATGCCATCCACTTGATAGGCACCTTGGGATGGTGAGAGATAAAGCAGTGAGACAACTATTAGTTTCCCTCTGTTGGAAAAAGTTAACTCACTCTGGACCTAATTACAAGTGACACACACAGAGGAGCCAGGTCACCCCATGACCCGTCCCCCAGGCCTGGCGCCTCCTCCCGGCAAGAGGGGATTTCAGTCTGACGGAGTTCAGGGCTGCTCTGGTAGGTGTCTGAGCACCCTCTGGGTCCTAGGTTGCTCTGGTGAGCTGGGGGCCCTGGGTGGGCCCAGTGGCCTTACTCATCCAGGTCTGTGTGTGTTTTCAGGGCCCAGCATCACAGGGTTGGTGGCTGCTAGGAGCCAGGCAGGCCAGAGTGAAACCTCAGAAGGGCATGGCTGTGGGAGGGCATTTGAGGGCATGACAGGGGACATGCATCCCTAAGTGCTATGAGGGTCCCTAAGAGAAACTTGAGCCAGAAAAGGGACAGAAGGACTCCATCACTGCCTGTCCCAGCCACGAGCCACAGACAGCCCTGGGAGCTCGGGCCCGCATGGGGGCCTTTCCTGTTCCTTAGGTGTCCTCGACAGCAGTGGGCCACCAAGGCAGCTGTGACCTTTCCCAATTGTGCTATTGAAGGGGACTTATATATCCTGCAGGGAGAGGCTGAAATCTAACCTTTGCTAATGATCACCTGGGGGTAACATCCTCATTCACTGTCCCAGCAAGTCCCATTCCCAAAGCAGCTCTGGCTCACACTGCCAGGAGACCCCGGCTGGACCAGCTGCCAGTGGCAGCTGCTGCGAGCTCACCCAGAAAGTCTGGAGAGCGTCCTCCCCTGCATGAGTTAGATAATACAGCTGGTGGGTAGGTAGCCTGGTCCCTGGTGTCAGGAAAATGCTGGCTGACCTACAAGCCACCTCCTTACTTTGCCTCCTTCTGCATGGTATTCTTTCTCTTCTGCACCCAGCAGTTTGGCCAGCCCAAAATCTGTGATCTTGACATGCTGTGGCGTTTTCACCAGTACATTCCTGGCTGCCAGGTCGCGGTGCACCAAGCGCCGGTCCTCCAAGTAGTTCATGCCCTGAAACACAGACGACCCTGTGGTGAGGGGCAGATCGTCATGGGAAGAAGCTCTGATTCTGAATTCAGGGTCATGTCCATGCCAGGCTCTGAGCCTCTCCAGCTCGAGGACTTACGGCTGGTGAACGTTAGTGACTACTGATCCAAAGAATGGCAAGGCAGATGAAAGAAGATGTAACCCGCTGCTGACTTTTGTCCATCCAGTTCCTCAAGTTTTAAGCCCAAAGGTGCCCGTACATGAGGACAAAGAAGAGCAGGAGCTCTGCTGCCCTGCTGAGACCTGTGCTTGGACTTGCTGGACTTGCCAGGCCGACCTTCATGCATGTGGTTTATCTGCAAAGTGGGGGTGGGGGGTGGCGGGGACCATGCCCTCCGAACCATGCCCTCCGAACCAAGCTGGTGCAAAGGAATGTCTGTCAGGGTTTTTAAGCCACACTCTCATTGTGCTTTCTTGGACTCTCTGACATGGTTCACTGCCTATGAAGATTTTTGTACTGTTTTACTTTTCACTGGTTTATTATTATTATTACTGAAACCACATGGATACTGAATATGCTTTTAGAAGACCCCACTCCCCTCACCTTCCTGGCTGCCTCCACAATCCTGCTGCAATTAGAATCTCTGCTCTGAGAGTAAGAAAGAGAGAATATGTGAGAAGCAGCCAGCACAGCGCCCAACAGAGTGAATTCCTAGAAATGCTACCTGACCCTGGCTGACCCTGACCCATGGCCTCTGGTAACCTTGTCACACGCACCTTCCTCCCTGCTGGCTGCTGGGGTCACTGCTGACCTCTGTTCCTCCTTGCTCGATGGATGCCTACCTTGCTGAGCCCAACTGCCCCAGGCTTTGGCATGAGCGTGGCAGCCTGCATCTCTCTGCAAGGGCCAGGCTGGCAGGTGGGAGAGGCTGGGAGGGGTCAAGTTCTGCAGACCTCTTTGTTTCTACCACTCTCTCTTCTCTGTCCCCCAAGAGGGTGGGCCACCTTTCTAGTTCCCTTTATGGCTGATGTTCATGTACTTTCTAGTACAGAGTGGGCACCACAGAAATGCTCGCTGTGGTGCAGCAAATAGAAACAAACAGGCATCCCCAGCCCGCTCCACTCTGCCATTTCTGTATGGAGGGATCCCACTGTAGTGTGACTGCAGGGAAGAGCTGTCGATGTGGATGGATTCCCAAGTTTTCCGGAAAGTTGTCTGCTTTTTGTTGCGCGAATGTTATGTGAAAATGATGCGTTGAGTTGGCATGTCAGAGCAAAATTAAAATTTTTTCTTTCTCAGGCAAAACCAGTCATCACAAGAACGTAGGGTCTCACAAAGATGCTATCAGAATTAGTCTTCGGGTGCCATTTGTGAGGCGTTTAATGTTTTTCTCTTTTGGAAAAGAGACGCTTGCCTGACACCCACGTCTCATGACTACATGGACTGTCCCCTCACCCTGCATGGCCGAGAGCGCTCCTACGGGTTTCCGGTGCTGCTGGACGTTAGTGCTTCCCTGCCTACTTAAGAGGAAATGAGCAGGTTCTTCTCCGGAACAACACTTTCAAATTAGGAAGTATTATGTCAGGATGGCGGGTGGAAAGGGAGAGGAGAGGGAGGGGCAGAAGCCGAGGAAGCGCTTCCCAAGAGGACTGGCCCAGACTCCCTGCTACTCTGGCAGCCTGGGTCTCCTGCAGAGGCAAGCTCCCTGCCCCCGACTCCCGTCTGCCTCCTCTGACTCCTGGGATGCTGGCTTGCTCTCTGCCTGGTACCCTGTCTCTTACAGAGCAAGGCCTCTACTTATTAAATACCATGAACTCCTGCCCATTCAAAAGGGAGAGTTAGGCTCCGCCTCTTGCTGGTTTGACTGAGTGTCTACCTTCTTGGCTGTGTGAACTCCCAGGCTGTCTCCCCTTCTCTCTTCTCTATCCCTTGATTTCTCACCCTCACCCTTGCTTTCTCCTTGCCTTCTACCCTGTATCTCTTTTGTTCATTCTTCACATTTGTTGAAGGCGTTCTCTGCGGTAGCTGCTGAGCAGGAGTGGCACAGGCCTACAGTAAAGAGCCACACACCAGTCCCTGTGCAGGGGACCGGGAGCCTCTCCTTTTCTCCCTCTCTATTTAAAATGTGTGGTTTCTACATGTTCATTAAGCCCACAAGGAGGCCTTCAGAGCACATTCCCAGCTTCATTTCACCACCATTGCTAACTTCTATTCTGCCTCTTTAAATGCTTAGCGGAGATTTTGGTATACTGGGCATGTTTTAAAAACAGCCTGCTGAAGAATGAACAACTGAATGAATGAATGAATGAATGATTGAATGATCGGTGATAGCAGCTGATGGTGCTGAGCACTGGTGATGTGCCAGTCATTTCACACACGTCTGTGCAGACGCCTTTTCCATCCCAGTCCCCACACAACCACCTTGTTAGACGACCTGGGGTCCAGAGGCTGAAGCATGTAGTTGCACAGACCAAATCCTCTGAGCCCTCAAGACCACTACTGGGACCATGGCTTTAATTCCCCTGCTGAGAAATGTGCCTGCTAAGCCAGAGGCTGCTTGGGGTTTTATACACACACACACACATATTATGTGTGAGAGCATGAGACAGCATGAGCACACACCTTGGTCCCGTGCCTCTGGGGAGGTCCGCATCACTCTGTCAGTCTAACAAATCCAGCTGACCTCTGGTCCAGCCCTTCCCGGCTCTTCAGGCCAGGGCTTTAAAGGACCTGAGGCATTTCCACACAGTGTCTGTTTCCTCAGAACACAGGTCTTCAGTAAAGGCGTGGGAAAGGGCAGAGAGAGCACAGGATATATTCTGGAATTCAGGTAATGAGCTGGAGGGTTTTAAATCAGAGACAGCTTTGGGACAAGGAGAGAATCTCATGTGAACTTAGATGAGACTTGACGCATGGGTCTCTGTTCCACTGCCGGCACATTTGAAAGGACAACTCTGTGCCTGGCGCAGTTATGCTTTAACCGGTCCCCAAAGATAAGAGCCACGATACGGCCTGTGAGCTCCCAGGGTCAGAGCAGAGGCCGCAGGAAGCAATAACAGCAAAGCCTCAGCGGGGCCTCTCAGGAAACTCAGTTCCTGCTTCTTCTCCGAGACCCTCACTTTAATTGAAATTAAAGTATTTATTTTTGTTAATTACTACAGGAAAGCTGGAATGAATTTTGAAATACAGCACTGACGTTAAAAGGGGATTTGAAAAGTTAGCCTGGAACTTCCACTCACAAAAAGGAAGGCTCTGCTCCACATGGCTGTCGGGGCTTTTTCTGGCAGGGTTCCCCAGAGCGAGGGGCGGGGGCTGTGTTTGACCCTGAAGGGCTGGATGTTCCCAGGGGCTGCCACACCCCACAAGTCTTGGGAGGAGTTCAGAGTGAGAGGTGGGAACTGGATTGTTTGTATTCTGTTTTGTAAACCTCCGTGGAAGAGCTCATGGAGCAGTGACTTAGTGAGGAAGGAAGTGGAGGATGCGAGGACGAGAAGGCCGCGTGGTTCTTGTGGAGTGGAGGGTTTTCCTATCAACACTATTTTGTTGTTGCTGTTGTTCAGAAGTATTTATTTAAAGCAAGATCAGAAAGAGGCTTACGGTTCATCATCTTCAAATTAACCCACCTCTACCAGAACCATGCTGAGACCAAGATCACCATCACCCTTCCCCTAGGGGTTGGGGCTCACCCCTCACCTCCACTTTGGGCTGCTCCTGAGGCAGGCAGGGCCAGACACTCCTGACCACAGCTAGGGAGAAGGCGAGAGGCCCCGCAGGGCTTCCTCGGGCCTCATCTTCCAGGATCCCCCTGTATAAATGATGGTGTTCTCCCCTCAACCTTTCAGCCCTTGGGGTGCAGGTGGGGAGGGCAGCCCCACCCCAGAGACCCACCCGCAGCTGGTAGAGGTGAGGGATGGGGTTCGGGGGACTCCGAAGCTACAGATCTGATGACGTGTTTAAGCAGAGTGGCCACCAGGAGAAGCCTCCGCTCCTGCCTCTGGACTCCAGATTTCAGAGCATCTGTGGCCTTGAGCTCCCCAAAAATGGAAGAGTCTGTTCCTCGGGCCATCTTGTCACCTTCCCAGGTGGGCACAGAGTAAGTGCTGGACCTCGGAAGGGGCAGGAAAGTGTCAGAATGTCCTGTTCCCAGACAGAAGTGGAGTAGCACGGGCACCCTTGCTGTTCAGGGAGGGGGTGCTGTTGGGACCCCTGTCCTGAGAGTCGTGCTCTGAGCTGGGGCATCCGTGCAGGCTGAGAGGCTGCACCATGGAACTGGGCCACTTGGATCAAATCCTGAGATCTTGGCAAGTGATATGAACGCCGCATGCCTTTGTTTTCCCATATGTAGAATGGGTTAATCAGAGGGTGGAATGAGTTTATGCAGAGACAGCACTTGCTTAGATAGCACCCATGTGGGGTCCCGTGGAGGTGCTTGTGATTGTCACCATTCCTCTAAATGCCAAATCTATCTTCTCTTCTCCATCCCTTTTGCAGCGACCTTGAATTTGGCCACCATCTTGCCTTTGTGATGAGGCTCTATGTGCTTGGCCTTGAGGGGTCCGCCCCTCCCTCCCCAGTGTCGCTTACTTTGTGGCTTCCTCCCTGTCCTCAGCATCTCCCAGTCAGAGTCACTTCCCCACTCTCGAGTGCCTTCATGCCCTGTTCACAGCCAACTCTCACCTACAGAGGCCTCCAGGACAGGGAGAGGACCTGTCACGCTGTTTGGTCTGCAGGACTCAGGGCTCTGGAGGGTGAGGGGCCATCTGGCTTGTTCACTGCTGTCTTTCCAGAGCCAGGGGGCTTGGCTGACAGACCCAGTCCATTTGGCTTCAGAGCTCACCCTCCCTGCGCCTTGCACCGTGGCCTCACGACAGCTGCGTCTCCTGCTCTGATCTGCTTCCCTTCCTGCTCTGTATTTGTTGGCAAACTTGGGGAGATAAGAAATTTTGTCTTACTTCTATATATATTTCATGTGATGCTTAACACTAGCAGGTGCTTAAGAAATAAATAGTCAAAATGTCTAAAGATGATGAATGTGCTTCAACAGCACTGTGAGCTTTGACTTCTTAGTGACATACCAACGTGATCATTAGGTTAAGTTTAGCTACAACCCTTTGTGGAACATGCAAGAACAAATAAAAAAAAATAACTCACATAACTGAAATCTCTGGTCCTTGGACCTAGGAACCCACAAAGCTGTGTGATGTGAACGTGCTGGGTAAGTCATCCTCTCTGGCCCAGTGCAGATGGGAGCAGGAGGTGCAGGGCTGAGTCACCACCCTAGGGCCGCAGTTAGTCAGCAGGGGTAGGCTCTGCCAAATCCTCATCTGAGGATGGGAAAGCCGTGAGGGGAGGGAGTAGACCTGGATGATGAAGGCTGGAGCCCTCTGGGACCTGCCTTGAAGCTGCATTGGAAGCTACGTAGAACAAGCCAGGGTCTCTTCTCCATGACAGCCTATCTCCACCAACGCACTGTGGCCCTTCCTCAGCGCTCCACCCAGTGTCACTTTCACTCGCTCACAGTCCTGCTTGTGCACTATGACACACACACACACGATCTGTCAGCGTGGTTTTCGTGACCTGGTGCCTAGGAATAGGCCCCAGTGGCCTGGAATGTGCTGGCGCCACCAGCGTGGAGTCTCCTTCCCTGTCTCCCGGTGTGGACGGGATAGCCAGGCCCACTCAGCTCTGCTTCCTCTCCCTCCCATTAGCAGCTCACGGGCATTGGGGCCTCTTGTCAGTAGGGGAGCCGTGAAAGCACCTAGGGCTTTTTAAAATGAACTTGGACCAAATTAAATAGCCCACGTACTTGAAAAAAGGAGGCTTTGAAGTTTTCTTTGATGTTTATCTGCATTAAATTTTACCTCATAGATGGAACTAAGTATAGTTTGGTGCTTATAGAGTTGTGGTCAGAGAGTGCCACTCATAAGCCAGTTTCATTCTGAGAGCCTTGCCCTGCCGCTACCGTGCATAGTTCACCAGGCCTGGCCTCAGCACTGCAAACTGATATTGTTTGCTGTACTACAGAACCACATCATTGTCTGCCTGAACACTCGATTCTGTGAGACTGTAATCTGCATTAGGTGATGAGAAAGCTCTGTTGTCCAAATAGTTTGGAAGAATGTGAGATGAGTTGCAGTCTGAATGGCAGGACTCTGCAGTCCTGGGCATGGGGGGCTCCACGGGGAGAGGGCGGCGCAGGAGCGGGGCTTTCCAAACGGCACGGATGACGGGATCTTTGGATGATTGTGCTGTGTGATTTAGTCTGGGATTTACTAGCTGGCTTGTAAATCCCAGGAAGAGTAGACAGGTTTTCTTAAGTCTAACTTACTCCTAGTGTGTGAAAGCCACCGTGATCTCCTGCGTGGGGAATTTAGGAGGCACCTGCTCTTTCTGGCTGGTAAGCAGGTGGTGTCTTCACAAGCTCCTGAGATGGTTTTGCATGTGGAGAACAAAACCCATTTTCCCTGTAGAGGGCAAGGGATGTCTCTCTCATGGTCTTCTGGTCTCATCTGGATTCCTCCCAGGACACCTCTGTTTTTTTTTTTTATTCTTTCTTTTGTCTAGTTGATATCATTTTATGTAATCTCTTTAGCAGTTTAGTCAGGACAATGAAACCTGCATAACGGTGGCCAGCTCTCCCATCAATATTTAGAAGAAAACTTCCCAAGATAGTTTGTGCCTTTGTCAATCAATACAGGACCTTTATAAGCCAATAATCCCACTTTGAGGATGCCAGGAGTTTAGTTTCTAGTCAGCCACTAAGTGTTTCTGGGTAGTTTTACTTCAAACGTTTAAAAAGAAAAATTTTTAATACTCAGATACATTGTAAGTAACCCAAGAGCAAATTTCTATCTTTATAATTTGGGGAATCATTGTTTTCATTTCCCTCCGGGGACAGCTGTTCCATCATTGCAGCTATTCAAATACAGAGGAATGAGATTTCCTTTGTGAACTAAAAAGCAAATCTAACAGAGCCAAAGCGTTAACTGCCCATAATGTAAAAGGACTTCAAATCAAAATAAAGCTAATCAAAGTACAACAAACACAAGAATGGCTTTAAATAACAGGTTGAAATTGTAGGTAACATTATGTAGAGAACTATCGTGGAAAACTTTCAGGCCCTGGAAACTTAAACTCAGGCTTTCAGTAACTTCTGCTTAAATGGGACCCGCACTAAGTGAGTTCTCTGTAATGGCACTATTATATTCGTTTGTAGAAGGCTAATTTTTGGGGTCAAATAAACCTCCACTTATCTAGGCCAGGCCGACTGGAGTGTGAGCCTGAGAAGGAGGGCCAGAGAGCAGCTCATGAGCAGCGGAGCTCAGGAGCAATGGCGGGCGCCTGACGGTCATGCTGAGCTAGGGAACGAGGGTTGGCGCAGATGCAGATTAGGAAGATGTTTCTGGGTATATTTTAGTGGCTGCTCCAACCTAGGTCAGCCAAAGGGGATCAAAGGAGGAAAGGAACACTCAGTGGGGATCAGGCGTGTGCTGGGCCCATGGTGGGCTATGTGAAGGGGCTCACTGCCCTCCCTACTGCTCAGAAAGGCAAGGTGCAGAACACACTTCACAGCGGGGAGACCAGGCGCAGAGAGGCCAGCAACGTGCCCACGCTCACACAGCAAATGTGCCAGAATCCAGATCTGAATCCACAGTCCACTGGAGTCCTGAGCCCGTCCTGTATTGGGCGAAACCTGCCAAGACTGCGTGCCCCTTAAGGAAAACGGTCACATACGCATTACACATGGATGGCCTGGCCACCTCTCCACCACGTGAGGAGTCACCTTTGTGGAGCTGGGGGTTACTGGGAGACGATTAAGAACAGCTGCGGACTGTTGGCCCCCTCTGATAAGCGGGGGAGGGGCAGCTCCCACATGCAGGGCTGGGTTTGGGGGACAGCCAGGGCTCACCTCCTGGTTGGGACAGGTAGGCACAAACTCAAGTAAGCCATAAACCAACCAGATCTTCTGAGGCAATATGTGCTAAGAGGAAAGTAAAACCAGGTGATAGAGACTGCCGGGCAAGGTGGGCAGTGCTCTCCATTCCCTGCTTCAGATAACCAGGAGGAGAGCTGGGGAAGCAGGTCTGGGTTCCAGGTCAGGGCATGAGTGGACCTAGCTCCACACACAGCAACACCTGCCCCAGGCTGACCACCCGCTCCCCAAGACAGTGGGTTGCACAGTGTCCCCACATTTCACGTCTACCCAGAACTGCAGAATGTGACCTTATTTGGAAATGGGGTTTTGCAAATGTAAAAATCTTGAAATGAAATCATCATGGATTTAGGGTGGGTCCTAAATGCAACGACTGGGATCTTTTTTAATATATACATTTATGGAGTGCAATGTTTGTTTTGACATCTGTACACATAGTGGAGTGATCAGATCAAATCAAACTAATATATCTATCACTTCACATATCTATCTTTTTTTTGTGCTAAGAAGATTTACAATAGACTCTCTTAGCAATTTTCGAGCTCAATGATTGGTATCTTTATTAAGAGAAAGGAGAGGGGCCTGTGGTTACAGAGACACAGGAAGAGGCCATATGAAGATGGAGGTTGACGTGGGGAGGTGCAGCCCCAGCCCAGGGATGCTGGGGCCACCAGAAGCCAGAGAGGCAGGAAGGATCCTTCCCAGAATGCTTGCAGGAGCATGGCCTTTAGATGCCTGGCCTCCAGAGCCAGAAGGGAATAAATCTGTGCAATGTTGAGCTACCAAGTTGGTGATGATTTGTTGTGGCAGTCTTGGGAAACAAATGCAGCCACACAGAGAAATAACAAGCATCTCCCAATAAAAAGAGGCACACAAGATCCTCTCCCAGGACCACTGTCTAACAACGGTCATGGGAGTGTTCTACTGTGTGGCCGAAGTTATGACCATGAGAATGGCAAAAACATTCAGTGATTTTTGTGGTCAGAGAAGCGTGAGTGTTCCCCACTTCCTGGGCTGCTGGGGGCCGCCTGTGGCTGCAGCTGAGAAATCAATGCCTGATGGTGTTGGAGTAAAAGGGGCTGTTCAGGGTGTGCTGCTGTCTGGTTATCCTGGGAGGTGGTCCCTGCTTCTACAATGCGGCCCAGGAGCTCTGTGATGGGAGGGAGTGGACCCAAGCACCATGGCTCCCAGCAAGAGCCTGGCTGGTGGTGTCAAGGGCAGCTGCTGGCATAAGAGCACTCCAGATATTTTTGTTTGTCTTCTTGTAGGTCACCTTTTACATCTGCCTGGAGCTGGGCAAACACCTCACGAGTGACTTGGCAGGACTGACTGCCACAGCTAACCAGGGGAATGCAAGCAATAAGGAGGACCTGCCCAGGCTCGGTGGGCGTCTGCTCCCTCCCTCTGGTCCCTGGCACATCCCTGGACTCCCTGCCCTGCTGTCGGAGGGAGAGGAGGGGCAACAGCGTATTCTCAGAGACAGGGTCTGCCTGCAAATTCTTTAAAGTCAACGGGGTGAAATATATACCCACTGTCAGAAAAAAATAGGACTTAGCAAGTTGAGTGCAAATAACTGATACAAGACTGGGATGGAGATGGGAGGGGTTTGGGGCAAAAGCAGAAGTCTTTCTGGGTCCACACGAGCTGTGAAACACCTGGCTCGTTGCTCTGTGCCTGCCTCCGGCACCCAGGCGGGGCTACCTGACCATTCTGCTCTCTCAGCCCCGCCCTGGCTCTGGAGCGAGCCTGTGGAAAGGAGGACACTTAGCCAGGGCCCCAGCCACATAGCAGCAGCAGCTGCGCCCTCTGTCGGCTCCTTGCACCTGCTCACTGGGCCTCCTGCGAGGCACCTGCTCCACTCCACCACCATCACCTGGGTCCTCCTGGCCTCGGCCTGGCTTGCTTACCTTGTTATCAAGGCCTGACTGGGGGAAGCAATACTCCTTCTCCACTACAAATCACCACAGTATTCACAAAGAATTCCAGAGAAATAAGAACACAGACATCAGACCAGACTGAGCACTCAATAAAGAGAAAATTCTTCAAAGGTAGCTGATTGATGAGAGTTTCCACATGCAGAGGGGACAGGCACTGATTCGTGCACAAGAAGATCAACTTGATTGGATCCAAAATAAAGGAATGTGTGTGTGCTGCATGCACGCACACACACATCCCCATGGCAAACTTTCGCTATCCCAGGAGCGTGGACCACATGTGAGGATCCCGGCTCCTTATCTCCCCTCCCCGATTACCTTTGCAATCTGCACACACCAGTTGAGCAGGTACTGGGAGCCGATATTGTCCTTGTGTTCCCGGACGTAGTCCAGGAGGCAGCCGAAAGGCATGAGCTGCGTAATGAGCTGCACGGTGGAGGTGAGGCAGATGCCCAGCAGGCGGCACACATGGGGGTTGTCCACACTGGCCATCACGTAGGCTTCCTGGAGGGAGGGAGAGGCGTGTCAGTGGGGCTTCCCATGGCCACCAGAAGGAGGGGCACATGGACCCCTTCCAGGTGAAAACGCATGAATACGATCTTGAGTTTTGAAATATGTACTCATGGAGGAAAAGCTGTGCCTGCAAAAGACCTAGCGCAAGGACGTTTATGCAGGGCTGTGAAGTGACAGATGCAGTGGGAGGGTGCCCCTCCTGGGTGCATCCGGGGATTCCCCATGACAGAGAGGCCCAGGCAACAGTGGCCATCAGGAGCACATTGGATAAAGGAGGAACCGGAGTCACCTGATCTCTGAGTTTGGGAACTGATACTGTCTTTGTTATGAAGACCTCTGCCTCAAGGTTAAGGATGCTGTGGTTTAAAATATCATGAGGGCCTGTGGGACTCTGTGTGTGGGGTCCAGAACACCCTGGGTAATGACTGACCCTGCACATCAGGGACACTGGCTGTGGGTGCTGCAGAGGAGAGGCGATGGAGAAGGCATCCAGGGAGCGCTGAGCCAGCAAGGAGAAAGGCCTCCCTTCCCCAGAGGCTAGGTTTGACCCTGACTGTGCTCTGGGAAATGGGTGGGCATTTGGTCTGGGGACCCTGCCCGCAGCACCTCTGCAAAGAGTAGCTGGACAAGCTCTTTCAATGGACCAGTCCCAGGCTTTGAAATGGACAGAGCATTCAATCTATAGTGACTAAAGGCTGCCTGGCTGCCCGGGACCCATTTCTAAAGAGAAGTGGTCTCTCTGTGCTGCGCCCCCAGACTTCCTATGGGAAATCCATGATGCACTGAGTCAGGCATCTGCTGCCCGCTAATTCCGGCTGGCTGCCAAGGCAGGGGCCTTCCTTTGACAGAGCCATAAATACAGACTTTATTTTAACCCTTCTGCTATTCTTGGGCTGAGGAAGCTAAATTTATTTGCAGTCATGCACACAATGGGGCCCTCTTTTCTGTCTGAGAATGAGGGAATCTCCAATTTCCACCCATAAATTCTCTTTCCCTTTAAAATACAAATGGTGGTGACCTTTTATTCAGATGTGGAAAAGAACACACGGACTGAAGCAGAATGCATCCAGAGCTGCTTTTCACATCTCAGCAATGCCTGTGTTTGAGTGTGGACTTGGGCAAGTTAGTTTCTCTGCAGAAGTGAACACACCGGGCCAGGGTCTGAGATAGGGTGCTGCTCCAGGGTGCCTGGGCAGGTCAGGTGCAAAAGGCTGGCGGGAGGCAGGGTGGAGATAGGAGACAGGAGACAAAGGCAAGGTGGAGCGAGGGGATACAGACAGTCAACCCTCAGTGTCTGGGGAATTGGTTCCAGGAGACCTCCCTCAGATATCAAAATGCGAGGATGCTCGAGCCCCTGACATAAAATGGCACAGCATTTGCGTGTAACCTACAGACATCCTCCCATCTACTTTACAGCATCTCCTGATTACCTATAGTACCTAATACAATGCAAATACTATGTGAATAACTGTTATGCTGTATTGTTTAAGGAATAATGACAAGAAAAAAGTCCGTATATGTTCAGTACTGATGCAATTTTTTTCCCAATGTTTTTGATCGTAGTTGATTGAATCCATGGACATGAAACTGCAGACATGGAGGGCAAACTGTAAATATTTACTAAAATACAAATATGCTCACACACTTTCCTTGCCCTAAACCCTGCCCTGGCCTTCCCTGTTCTTGGGAAGCCCCAAGACTGCCTGCTCTCCTCCCTCCAGCCTCTGGTCCTCCTGCCCACTTTCTCCCCAGGACAGCTTCCCTCCACCCTTACCCACGGGAGGACCTCTGTCCCCACAACCTTCCACCTCCTCCTTCCTTAGCAGACTCTTTCTCAGAGGAGCCTTCCTTGACTCTTCAATCTAAATGAAACTCTCCTGGTATCTTGCAGTTTTTCCTTCAGAAAGCAGCCTAGGCATTGCCTGTGAACCTTTCAGAGCCACACATTCTTGGGCCCCGCCCCAGGCCAAGACGGTGAAATGCAGGAGACAGGCCCAGCCTTCCCTATGAACAAACCCTCTGGATTCTGAAGCTTGATGAAGCTGAAGAGCCACTGCTTTGGGGCACTCATCATAATCTGTCCTTAAATGTTTGTGTGATTTAAAAAGTGCCCTTCCCACCAAGCTCTTTGAGGAAAGAACGGCTTGGTCAGCTCCTAACACACGCCTAGGGTCTAGCTGGCGCTCTGCAGTGTCGGGCCGCCTGGCACACACTTGCTCTTATATTGCCTCAAGTCTCTACCCCGTATCTGTTGGCAAGTGTGTGGCAAGTGCTCTGAGGGCCTGACCTTTGCTTCTTTGACATTCCAGCAGGGACTAGGGCAGATCTAGGCACATATCTACTTCAAAACTGTCAGGGTTGAACTGTACTGAAGTCATGCAAGGTCAAAGACTCAAAGCAAATCAAAGTCCAGGCAAGACAAACAACTTTAAATATTTTCTGCAGAGTGTTTAGGCTCTCTATTTTCAAGGACAGTGTGTGTTATTTTCCTTTTATATTCTAAACATAATGTCACAATTTTAAAGAAGAGAGATGTTTAATATCTGTGGACTCAGTAGATATTGAAAATATCCTTTCAACTCAGAGAAGTGCTTGTTTATAAAATGTCAGAACAGGACAGGGCCAGGAAGTGTATTTTGTCTGAGGTCACTATAGTCAGAGGGTAAGCTGAGGCTGATGAGGTGAACGGCCCACCTGAGGCCACCCTGCACAGGGTCGGGTCTGGGCCCACAGCCAGGTCTCCTGACCCTGGCTCCCTCCATGGCCCGCTGCTCACCCCAATGGTTTGGAGGCGCCCCAGGTCCTGTGTGTGAAGGCAGCCTGTGGGGCCTGTTGGGTGCTCCAGTTAACGGACGTTAGACGTGAGACACACACACACAGCACACCTAGAAATCTGTTTTGCATTCTCTTTCCATTGCCTACTCTAAATTTAAACTGGAAAGCCTATGGAAAAATTAATAGGCCATGGGATTGCCAGAAAGCACAAATCACATCTCTCCCCCGAGTCTGGGAAGCTGTACAACCATAACACCAAAGAAACCCTCTGGCTCTTCCTATTTTCTCAAGATCTGGTTGAGATTTGAAAACATATTGTATTCATTTGAGAGGGAAGAAAAATCTGCAAACCAGAGCAGTTTGAGCAGCCCATCTGCTGCAGGGCCTCGCAGGGCTGACCTGGGGCTGGGAATGGGGAGCAGAGCGGGGGGCGTGGGTGTCGGCCACACAGAGCTTGGAGCCCCGCCAGGCCCCATCCTACTAACATCTGATAGACCCACTGGGCCATCACTTCCTCCCCACCCAGCAGGCACAATGGGAACGCTGTTCAGTCGTGTGTCCCGTTCGGTGTACGCAGAAGCTAAAGCGAGCTTTGTTCTCGGTTGTTTGTCTTGGAAGTGGTAAATGTGCACCGTGACCTACAGCAAGCATGCTTGGTATTCCACAACAATCTCCGCGGAGCCCCAGCGCCTGCAGGCTGGCAGGCAGAGTGCACATTTGGAGCCCCCATGGCTCCTGGCCCAGTCCCACCGCAGGAGTGTCCCTGAGGCTTTGTGACCTTGAAAGCCTGTTATTTTGTCCTAACTGCTGACATGACTTTTGGTTCCTTCCTTCTGGCTTGTCTCCCTCATCTGTGAACGGCTCTACCATAAGAACTGGGGTTCTACTAGCTTTTGAACTCCTTAAGGAGAGGTGTATGTCCAGCCTTACGAATGAAGGGCAGGTGTCCCCTGCATTTTAAGAACTTTACTCATTCACTAAGTCACTGCTAGCAACATGGAACTGGGCTGCAGTGTGTGTGCCAGCCGCGGGGCCTGGTGTCTGCAGGGGAACGTGAGTATGCAGTCATTGCTGCTGTGCTCGCATGCACGCGAGTCTTTCTAAGAGCACACGTGGCCCCGTGAGGTGTCCTGCCACACGATTAAGGTGTATTTAACACCCTGTTGAAATTGGCTTGGGCACTGCTGGTTTTTGCTTTCTTTACCAGAAAGTGCCTCCTCCAGCTTCCCCCTCTCCATCCCAGCACGGTGCCCTGCCTGCCAGGATTGCTGGCGAGGCCCGGGCAGCCTGAGCTGCAGGACAAAGCACAGGATTCAGGGAACACTCCAGGCTTGTCGCCCTCTGACTGCAGCAGACATGACATCCACCATTGGAGAGGAGGGGGGACATGGCCGCAGTGAAGAAACATGGGGCAAGGAAATAAGATGATGGAGGGGGAAGAGGCGATGAGACAGGATGAGCAGGAGGCCAAACTGAGCCTTTCTTTTATTTATTTAATATATTTAGAGAGATATATATCATATGATATATAATATCATATGATATTATATATGATATATTTATATATCTACATATCTATATACAGAGTATATATAAACATATCTATTTTCAGATATATATAGGTATCTATATTACAATCTGTATCTAATTATTTTTTTGAGCAGGGTCTTGCTTTGTCACCCAGGCTGGAGTGCAGTGGCAAGATTTTAGCTCACTGCAGCCTAGATCTCCTGGGCTCAAGCCATCTTCCCATCTCCTGAGTAGCTGGGACTACAGGCATGAGCCACCATGCCCAGCTAATTTTTTATTTTTTTGTAGAGACTGGGTCTCAGTATGTTGCCCAGGCTGGTCTCAAACTCCTAAGCTCAAGGGATCCTCCTGCCTCAGCCTCCCAAAGTGCTGGGATTACAGGCGAAAGCCACCACGCCAGGCCCATGGACACTTCAGATGTTGGGTGCACTTAACTTTTAAGCCTTGACCTTATCTATCTTCTACTCCATTTCCAACTCCACAGAAGCATATTTCCTCCAATTAAAAGGTCCTGGGGGGCACTTTTCAGTGAACACTGCTTCCTTCCCAAAGCACAGCTACTGTCTTAGAATACATTCAAACCCTCCTCATACTGCATTATAAATACCACTGAAATTCACATTTCAACATGATTTTATATAATTTATTAGGATGTGTTGAATGAATAAAAAATGAATTAAGGAAGCAAATTCTGCACAAAGATCTTCCTACACAGCACAGGTGAGGGGCTAGATTGTAAGTGAAGGCTTCACGGATTGCCCGCCTTCCTGTATTTTTGTGGTTATATTAATAGACCTAACATTTTGTTACTAGGACTTGACTCAATTTGTAAACCATTAAAATGAAAGCTAATTTTTCTTGATAAGTATATCATCAATTTTTACAGATTTTTTATTGTACTGTATCAATTCATCATCTTTCATTTAGAAGTATATCAACATGGCATTTCCCCTACTGTAATAAAAGGAAGAAAAGCTGCTGAGAGAAAATTAAACTGTAGATTTCCTCCAATTAAAAAATAGTGTCTTAAGACAATTTTATGAAGGCCCATGTTCTCTTAGCTTGCTATGTATTCTGTGTGTTAGACATGAGGCAGGGGATATCACTCTCTGGCTTTTGTCCTTCTTGGCTGTAAGATCAACTACATTCTCTAGGGTTTTGAGGTAATAAGGACAGCCATTTTTCCTTTTCCTTGATTCTGCTTCCCTAGTCCGCTGCCTGAGTCCCTTGACCTCCTCTTTCACTTGCTCTGTGTTGGGACAAGAGTAAAGGTTTCCATGATGAACTCACAGCAAACCCAGGCCAGTGTAGAAGAGGCTCTGTCAGACTCCAGCCAATGTCTTCCCACCACTGGCTGGGGAAAGGCCCAGAGAAGGTGGAGAAAGTTCAATAGAATTGGTAGTAAGAATATAACAATAATCTTGTGGAATTTTCCAAGAACTTATTCCACAAAGTAACAATCAGCAGACACTGGAGAAAAATGTGTATTATTTTGAGAGAAAGTACAGCAGGTGGGCAACAGTTTATAGACTGCACGCCATCATATTCTAGGCACCTTTAAAAAAGCCATTTCAAAGATGAGATAACTTGGTGTAGTGAATTGAATGCAAGTTTCAGAGTCAGAAATAACAAGGGGTTTAAACCCTATCCCAGCCATATAAGAGTCAATTTTTTTATGCCTCCATTTCTTCATCCAAAAAATACCACAAACAACATCCATGCTCCAGGCTCACCAAGAGCACTCACTCATCATGCATGTCAAGAAACTAGTGCTGGGCAGATGCCAGTGATTGCCCGTTTCCAGCCTTTTGGGGTGGATACCAGCATGGGAGAGGCCAGTGTTGTCTCTAAGGGGAGGGAGTTATACCCACTATAGCTAGAAAGGGAAAGACGTGGAAAGTGAACATTTAGGATGTGGAGATGAGCAGGGTCTACAGCAGAGCAACTGCCAGACATGAGAAAAGGTGGGCCCTGGGGTCCAGAGTCATGGACCCCTACACAGCAAAGCAGAAACTCACATCGAGGATTTCCTTGTTGGCTTTCGGAGATGTTGCTTCTCTTAATTCCTTGATAGCGACGGGAATTTTAACTTTCTCACCTTCTGGGATCCAGAGTCCCTATGACAGAGAGAGAGGGAAGATGTTAACTGGCAATTGTGAGATGGTGCCACAAGCTGCCCAGTGAGCTGGGTGGATTTTACCAGCAATGCACCCCAAAGGTGAGGGACACTG